GGGGAGGAGGAGGAGGAGGATTCTTGTTAATATCAAAATATTAAATTACTCGTCAATTCGTTACATTGGATTCCGGCTCAGAAGGCTATAAGAATTGTGTTTTAAGACCGAAAATATTGCGGCGCGAAGTTTGTATGGGACTGGATATTGTACAACAATAAAATTATTATACACATCAACATCTGTGTCGTATTAGGCTTTACTTCATTATGTATTTCTTTTTTTCTTTACAGCCACGCACAATATTCCGATGAAACGGTTAAACTGATGACTACTGGCTACCTTTGTCCTCAGTGCCTCAGTAAACATTGCGAGCTCCCTGTGGAATGTAGAGCTTGTGGTCTTACTCTAGTATCCGCTCCACATTTAGCGCGATCATACCATTACCTATTTCCTGTTGAGCCTTTTAAAGAAACTGCATCTGAGAGCGATCATTCTTTCTGCTTTGGTTGCCAAAAAATTTTTGCTCAAAATGACAAAAAGGTAATTTTCCTATCATTCCTCCTCTATGTTATTAAAAGAAGTTATTCTTTTAGAAAATTATTAAAATTTGTGATCAATTAAACGATTTATTTAATCACGAATATTAAACAAATATTTTATCAAAGAGAAAATATATATTATATCTTGGCACAGACATAATATATATTTTCTCTTTGATGAAATATTCGTTTAATATTCGTAATTAAGGGGTTAGACCACCTTTGAGGCTTTAAAAGATACCTAAGTTTGGAATTTTTTTGTGAGTAAATAGATAACTTTATTAAAAATCTATCTAGAGGACATTGTTGTATATATACATATAAGAAAACAAAGAAAATATATATTTTTTTTTAATATCCAAAATGGTGGCGCACTTGCGGCCTACTTACGGAATCCTTTTTTCCTGTATCTTCAAATTAGTGTACAAAATTTCAGGCACATGGTTTGACCTTGAACAAAATACAAAGAATGTTTATTATTTACATATTAAAGACTAATGAAGTACGTAGGGGTTTTTAAAAATATTGATTTTTCTTAAAATTGCAGCTATTTTACGAACAGTGTGTATTTTTCGCAAATACAAGTCTTTCTTAAAATAGTTACCATTTTGAAAAAAATCAATATTTTGAAAAACCCTTACATACTTCATTAGCCTTTAATATGTAGATAATGAAAATTCTTTGTGTTTTGTTCAAGGTCAAACCTTGTCCCTAGAATCCTGTATACCGATAGAAAAAAAGGGATTTTGCAAGTGTAGGCCAGTGCGCCGCCATTTTGGACATAAATAAAATAAAGAAATATTTTTTAAGTTTCTTACATGTGTACAATAATGTCCTCTAAACAGATTTTAAATAAAGTTATCCATTTACTCACAAAAAAATCTCAAACTTTAGGTATCGTTTTAAAACCTCAAGGTGGCGTAATCCCTTAAATAATTTGTTTAATTGGTATCACACACACACACACACACACACACACACACACACACACACACACACACACACACACACACACACACACACACACACACACACACACACACACACAATTGAAAATTGTGATATAAGGCAGTTCTGAACTAGAAGAATTTGTCATCAATATTTAGCTAATATTTGAACATTTTAGACAGCAAAAATAACATATGTATTTATTTTTAGGTATATACTTGCGGAAAGTGTAATCAAACGTTTTGTTTAGACTGTGAGATATTTATTCATGAGATATTGCATACGTGTCCTGGTTGTGCAATAAATCCTGAAACATACAAAAAGTCTATAGATAAATCTTAAAATCATCCATTTAATGTAAATTCTGTTATAAAAACTGCCAAAGAGCAACCAAAATTGTGTTACATATATAATAATAACATAACAGAAAAATTAATTTTACAATAATTTTATTGTTTGCATATTAATATAATTAATTTAGTAGTTGCAACTACATTTGCCATTTGTTAAAAGATGTATAATTCAGTAAACAATTCTATTGTCCAATCCTAATGCTATCTAATACTATCTAATATCGTATTTTAAAAAATTTCAGATGAAATGTTTGAAGCAAATATTGTAAATATCAAAGCCCCAGTGATTACTACTCGTAATATTTACTAGCGCAAAACAATTATGCTTTCGATCGTATTATAACCAATTCTATAAAATTTTGCATAGAAGGTGTACCGCAGTGAACTATAGTTTATTGTAACGCTGGCAATTCCCATGAATAATGCAAACAATAAAATTATAATAGCTGTTAAATTAATTATTACGTTATGTTAGAATTGAAACTAGATAAAATCTAAAAACACATTATTTCGGTTCAAGTAAAAATAATAATCAAGGTAAAGAAGAGATTACAACCAACTTGTGCATTGGTTAAATGGAAATTAAAACCTTGTAATATTGATATGTGTGTAAGTACACTAATGTATAAAAAATTTCTATAAATTTGTATTTATGTGAACAGTAAGTAAAATTATAAGTCATTTTTATTTATAATTACAAAATAGATTACAGTAGAAAATTGTTGAGCGATATATATATAGGTATATATATATATATATATATATATATATATATATATAGA